GCAGCCTCCGTAAACTTCCTGGAAGCTGTGGAGGACCGACTGCCACTATCAAATGTCCCCTCCTGCCTGAGGGAAATTCCAGGGAACTGGCCAAGCACAGTGGCTCACGCCTGTAATCCCAGCACTTTGGGAGGCCAAGGCAGGAGGATCACCCGAGGTCAGGAGTTTGAGATCAACCTGGCCAACATAAGGAAACTCCATTTCTACCAAAAAAAATACAAAAATTAGCTGGGTGTGGTGGGAGGCGCCTGTAATCTCAGCTACTAAGGAAGCTGAAGCAGGAGAATTGCTTGAACCCAGGAGGTGGAAGGTGCAGTGAGCCAAGATCGCACCATTGCACTCCATCCAACCTGGGTGACACAGTGAGACTCCATCCCCCAAAAAATAAAGGCTGGGCTCAGTGGCTCATGCCTGTATTCCCAGCACTTTGGGAGGCTGAGGCGGGCAGATCATGAGGTCAGGAGTTCAAGACCAGCCTGGCCAATATGGTGAAACCCCATCTCTACTAAAAATACAAAAATTAGTTGGACGTGGTGGTGGGTGCCTGTAATCCCAGCTACTCAGGAGGCTGAGGCAAGAGAATCACTTCAACCCGAGAGGCGGAGGTTGCAGTGAGCTGAGATAGTGCCACTGCACTCCAGCCTGGGTGACAGAGCAAGACTCCGTCTTGGAAAAGAAAAGGAAAAAAAGAAAAGAAAAGAAAAGAAAAGAAAAGAAATTTCAGGGAACCAAGGAGAAAGGGTGTGTTTGAAAAGGGCAGCTATCTTGGCAAACGTCCAATAAGGCTTCACGATCTACTGGTGAATTCCATCCTGTAGACTGGGGACCTCTATTAGGAACCTTGTTATTTCAAAAGGGACTCCAGGGGTGTGACGGCCAATCTCCCTTTCACAGGCATGTGCGACGAACGCAAGGAAACACGGACTCAGGGGGAATAAAATCTCCACCAGACACTCAAGGCACGTCCTCCTGTTATTGTTTTTCTCCTGTTTCTATTTTCTTTTTATACAAACTTTGCCAACATTTAGGAAGTTAATGGTGCTGCATCCATCCTTTAATGCCCCTTCCTAGGGTTACTGGAAGCCAGCACACACCCACAGCCATGCCAGCTGTCTGCATAGAACATCTTCCCTTCCTGGCAGCACTGCCACAGCTGGGGCTGACCTGTGGCTCTCAGGGTGTGCGAGGACAGAGCTCTGGCAACACATCCTCTTTTAAAGGCAGGTCTCAGGCACCTTGGTGGAGGGAAAGACTGTCTTGCTGTTTGTGCTGCTTCTAGGACCTCACCACCTTCTCCCAAGAAGCTAAAGCAATAGAATAAAATAAAGATGTTCCTTTTCAAAGAGGGGTTTGCTCTGGTTAGAGGAAATAGGATGAGCAAAGTGAGTTGACAGAGAAAAATATTCAGGCTGGGACTCACTTCATTTTGCAGAAGGATTTTAAAAAAACTTCAAGCAGTAAGTTTACTGTTCATCATTAGGTCATCCAAAGCCACAACCTAATGCGGATTCTTGATTGCCTTGTCACAATTCATGTAGACAGGCCTATGATGCTGAAACATGGGCCCTGAGGTAAGTGCACTCGTATCCAGGTACTCTCTCATTTGGAGTCAGCGAATTTGTCTTAAATCTTGTCTCCTTTTTCAGGACACTTAGACCATCCTTCCCTTCCGTTCCTACTTCTGTCTACACTGGGACCCCACGGGTGGAGGAAGGGGCAGGACAGAACTGAAGATTGCTTGCCTCTTTTTGGTAACAAGCAACAGACAGAATCATGAGTTTCCTCCTTGACATACCTTCCTCATTTGGCTTCTAAGATGCCACACTCCCCCGCCCTCCTCCTCCTTCACTGGGTCTTCCTCTTCTCCATGACTGAGATAAGGTGGGAGGACCTAGTCTTCTCTTGGGCTACACTCCTTCCCTTCCTCATCGCATTTGGATACACAGCTTTAAATGCGACTGATGTGCTGATGACACTCAAATTTACATGAGCCCCAGACTCTCCTAGCCTCCCACCTACTCACCACTTCTACTTGCAGGCTTAATGCGCCCCCAAATCTAGCATGTCCACACACAACTCCCATTTCACTTGGCAGAAGGCAAGGGCAAATCCAGTCTTTCTAAGAGCCAAAGCTTGGAGTCATCTTTGATCCTACTTTTTTTCCAGTATACCAGTGAATTGTATTTTTGTTGTTGTTGTTGTTGTTGTTTTTGTTTTGAGATAAGGTCTTGCTGTGTCACCCAGGCTGGAGTGCACTGGTGCAACCGTGGCTCATTGTAGCCTCAATTTCCAGAGCTTGAGCAATCCTCCCACCTTACTCTCCTGAGTAGCTGGAACCACAGGTATGTGCCACCACAGCTACCACACCTGTCTCTTATTATTATTTTTTTTAATTTTGTAAAGACAGGTGCTCACTATGTTGCCCAGGCTGGTCTTCAACTCCTGGCCTCAAGTTATTCTCTTGCCTTACCATCCCGAAGAGCTGGAATTACAGGCATGAGCCATCATGCCTGGTCTGAGTCAGGTGGAATTTTTTTTTTTTTTTTTTTTTTTTTGAGACGGAGTCTGCTCTGTCGCCCAGGCTGGAGTATAGTGGCGTGATCTTGGCTCACTGCAACCTCCGCCTCCCGGGTTCATGCCATTCTCCTGCCTCAGCCTCCCAAGTAGCTGGGACTATAGGTGCCTGCCACCATACCCAGCTAATTTTTTGTATATTTAGTAGAGACGGGGTTTCACCGTGTTAGCCAAGTTGGTCTCAAACTCTTGACCTCGTGATCCACCTGCCTCGGCCTCCCAAAGTGCTGGGATTACAGGCGTGAGCCACACCTGTAAAAAATACCATTGGGTGGTATTTTTAATTAGATTTGGAATCCGACCATTCTCACTCCCTGTGTTGTGCAAGCCACATGTGACTATATTTACATTAATTAAAATTTCAAATAAAAGAGAAAAGAAGGAATGGCCCAAATGAGAACTCTTAGGAAAACTGGAGCACAAATTAAATTTAAAAATTGTCTCTTACTTGCACTGGCTGCGCTTCAGGTGCTTAGCAGCCATGTGCATGGACATAGAGCATTTCCATCATTGAGGGAGCTCTCTTAGCCAGTGCTGGTCATGGGGTGGATCGCAACCACCCTGGTCCAAGCTATCAACATCTCTTGCTTGGATGCCTGTATCAGTCTCTTAGTTGATCCTGCTTCTTCAGTGTTCTCAATACAGCAGCCAGAGGCACCCTTTTTAAACTTTGCACCTCATGCCACTCCCAGGCTTCATGTCATCCAAATTCTCTGTCTCTCAGAGTAGAGGTCAGTCCTCAGAAAGGCACACAGGGTTCCAGGGGTTCTGGCCCCTTCTCATTTGGCCTCATCCATCAAGTTGCTCTCTCTGCAGCAACATGCGAGCCTCCTGCTACTCCTGGGCTCCAGAGCGTGCTCTGCCTCAAGTCTACCACACTGGCCATTTCCTCTATTGGGAGTGCCCTTCCTGGCTCACTCACTCTCCTGCTTCAGCTCTCTCTGCTCAAAAGTCGCTTTCTCAGTGAGGCTCCTTCCGACTATTCCACTTCAATTTCAACTTCTCCTCCAACTGCCAGCACTCTCACTCTCTCTTTCTCTGCCTAACTTTGTCTTTTCTGTAGCACTCATCTCCTATGAACGAACTATATACATTTACTTGTGTATGATATCTATTGTTTACTATTTGGCAGGGATCTTTGTCCATTTACTCACTGCTGGAAAACTGGCTCAGAGGAAGCTTTCAACAAATATTTGTTCAATAATGAACAGAGAAAGTTTGAGGGCTGAAAGGGGCCCTGGAAACCATTCTTGGGTGTGTGGCTGAGGGTCGGTGAGGTGAGGCCACTCCCTGAGGACTCACAATGAGCTCAAGGGAAGAACATGGATTAGGAGCCGGCATCATCCTAGGCATCTTCACTGGGCGAGCTCCATGACAATGAACTCCCCTTCCCCTTCATCTGTCACAGTCAGAGGGACACCAATGAACCACAAAGAGCCAACGGGAACAACAACCAACTAAAATATCAGGGGTATTCACCACTTTCTTCTTGGTAAAGCTTTGCATGATTCAACCATCAATCCTACCTCTCTGATAACTTATAAGAAGAAAGTGACAAAGTGGTGGTTCAGATTAATGAGCTCTTCTTACATGCTACTCTAACCCTCCTTCCCCCAATGCAAATACCAAGATTCTCTGAAAACTGGAAACACACATGGATGCTAGATTGTTTTTTCCTAAATATATCAACCTTGTTTAAAAAAAAATAAAATGATGCTTTCATTACATAATTTATAAAATAGTATTTGAGAAAAAAGTTGATTAGTAGGAAAAGAATGGCTGTCCGTTGCATCATTAAAATATTTCTGACAATCCAGATGAATTAGAAGAAAAGCAGAGCCCAGATCACATTTTGTGTTAGGGATTTGCCTGTCCTCTTGTATCTCAAAGGAAGTACCATCTGAATAGACATAGTTTCAAATGCCTAGGGATAATGATTTTTCTACTGCCAATTCTGGCTCAAAGAAAAAGATAGTGAGGGAGCTTCAACCTCACAAACAGACCTGTTCATAATGGCACAGCTAACAGGTCCAGGGCTACACAGCATGATGTTAGCAGAGAGCCTGGAAAACTCCATCCACAGCTCACTGGATGATTTAACTTGCCAGAGTATATAATTAAGAACAAAGTTATCTTTATAGTCATTCCTTCATTACTGAGATAACTCAATTGGAGGCTGTTTTAGAGATGCTGGATTCAGAAATAAAATCCTTACAGACTGCACTGCAATGTCATGAAGATTACACTAGAAAACAAATGGATGCGCATAGACAATCTTCTGTATGTACCAGAAAATTAGATCTCAGGAGAGACACGAAGAAAAAACATAAAATCAAAGAGGGTGGGGGCCGAGCACAGTGAAAGGTATAATCAGCGGCTTCCCAGAGAGAGGAACCTGCAGGGCTAGCAAGTTCGCTGGTTGTTACCTGGGGCAGCGCTCTTCAGTGCTTTCACTAACTGTCCCCTTCCAGCTCCAAAACCATTATCTCCATAGTCCGGGTCACTGTCACTATTACTGCCACCGCTGGCAGAGTATGTACACATTCTGGGTGCCTTGTCCTAAATGAGTAATATGAGACTGTTAAGATTATTCATACAAATCAAAACGGGGCAGAGCAACCTGTGAGCATGTGACACAGTTCACATTTGGCTGTCAGTGTGTGCACAGAATTCCATTCCCACTGCCCAGCCCACCGCCCACCCAAGACCAACTATGGTTTGCTGGTTTTTCGGCCTCCTGAGGAGCTGATGCTGTCTACTCAATTACCAGAGCTGCAGAAATACGCCTGCAATAATGAGGCTGTCGACGGCACTCTGCCATCTTCCCAGGCCCAGGAAGGTCCCCACGGTTACCTGCTCTGCATTTTGTACACTTCTTTATAGGGTCTTATTTTTCTCAAGTGCCTATTATGAGCTGCTGTTCCAAACCTAATGGCTTATTTATTTAACTGATCTCATCATTGCCTTCCAAGTATCAGAAGGTAATAAAACAATCAACCTTGGGAACAAAAGAATAAATGTTTGCCTAATTTATAATTTTCTTTCAGCTCCCAAAAGGACAGTAGCCTTTAGAAAAGTAAGCAACTGCTGACCCTATGTAATCCTCAAATCTGCTGACAGTTCATGGGCTGAGGGACCCAGTTTCCCCTCTTGCTCACATGCACGCATCACCTGGCCCCTCCCCTAAGGATGTCCGTGGCGTGGCAATGATGCTGTATTCAGGAATCGCTGAGGCAGTTGATGCTGTATGAACAGTATTCCCCTTTGTGCACATAAGCAGAATACTGGATCCAGGAGTGCAACTCCTGTGTTGTTGAATTGAGGTTATTTGGGGCCTTCTTTTTCCCCCTATTTGTAGAATGTCCTGTTAGAGCCTATTATTCCCCACCTAAGCCAGATAGTTCCGATCCAGATGCATTAGATGGGCCTCTAAAGTTTGTTCAGAAGAGTGTCATTTGGTTGGGGATTGTAAAAACACATTTTAGGATGTAAACTCGCTTATCTGGGGTTATAAATTCAAGCACTCATTTCCTTTACTCCTTCATTCATTTACTTAGTCACCCATCCTTTCAACAGTGTTTACTAAGTACCTACTGTGTGCTAAGCAGTATGCTAGTTCTACGGGTGGAGAGCTTACTACTGGAGATACCAGTAGTCTGGCAAGGACTAAGTCCATGAAGAAAGACAAGTCTACTGACTGTAGTTCTGGGGAACCTGTGTCCAGAGCTCCAAAAGGACCCAGTCCAGTCTGGACATGATGAGGTACACGCTTTCATAGCTCCATTCAACAAATGCTAACTGAACCAGGCACTGTGCCAGGTACTAGAAATATAAAGCGAATTCCTGCTTGCAACTTTCCATACCTGGCAGTCAACAAAGCAGGGTTCTGAGTTTCAAGGATTTCCAATGTATGGGGCTAGTGCAGGATGATGAGGAAGGGAATCCTAGAGAGGAATGTCCATTGGTGGATGCATATCTTATGTGAGGAGTGCAGGTCCCCTCTGGGTCAGCAAGAGTAACTTTTTTTTTTTTTTTTTCCTTTCTTGGAATTTTTTTTTTTTACTTTCTTGGAATTTTTCAAACTCCTTTGCCATTGTCACCAACTGTTGTTCCTGAACTGGTTTTCTCCTCTCCAACTCTGGGTGTCTGTTACGATTTTCTCAATTTTACAGCTCTTGATTTTCTCAATTTGCCAGTTTCCCAATCCTCCCAAAGCCAGCACAGAGTCCTTTGGAACAGTGGCAGCAATGCTCTGTGCAAAGTGTGTTCCATGGATCAGCGGCATCAGCATCACCTGGAGATTTGTTAGAAATGTGTACGCCTCACTCCGTATAAGCCAAATCAGACACAAGTCTATGTGGGCAACAAGACTGTAGCCCTTCAGGTGGTTCTGACGCCTGCTCAGGTTTGGGAGGCACAGAGCTGGAGGAGCCCTAACCTCCTGTGTTTGACTTAAGGCATGGCAGAATACAGCGGTTTCCTCCTTTGCCGCTCAGACCCATTTCCTGTGGAGGCAGACATCCCAGGTGCTGCCCTGGACTTCAGAGGGCCCAGTTCCAGTCTTGGCTCCACAGTAACTTTCACTGGGACCCTGAACACGGTCCAGCAGGACTCCGGTGTTTCCTACTGGAAATTGAGGCTGTGGGCCTAGAGGATCTGCTCCCCTGCTTTTCCATGGTCCCCTTCCATACTGAGGCAGATGCTCAAGGCTGAAAGGTGGTTTGGCCACACTGAGTGAGAGGACCTCAGATGTGGGTGAATCTGGGTATCTCATCACCATAGTTGGGCAGAAACTCTAGTAAAAATAGCAACCAGGGCTCTTGATACCAGACCTGGGAAAGCCAAGGGCAGCAGAAGTGGGAAGGGCCAAGGAGGGGCCAGGAAGTTCTGGAAAACAATCCACGTGTCTTCCTCCACCTTTCTCACCACCAGGCACCAGGGCAGATGCTGCAGTGGGCCAGCCCCAGGACGAGCGGTGAAATGGCAAATAGGCTCACCACGCAGGGTAACCTGCTGGAAGGGGTAAACAGGAGGGGGTACCACATAACCCCCAGTAGGGATGAGCAAGGAGTCCCTGAGCCAGACACCCATAGCCACCCATTAGGAGTTGTGTGTGTGTCATCTCCGGGCAGATGAAGAACCCACTGCAAAAATGAAACTCAAGGCTCACGGATCCTAGCAAGTCATTTGACCACACTGAGCCTCTGATTAGCCATCCTTAAAAGCAATAGAATTAGACCTGCTTTCCCTGTTTCATAAAAACAAAGTAAAGGTTAAAATAACTACCAAGACAACGAAAAAAATAGAAAAAACATCATTTCAATGGTGCCTGCATGGCTTGGGAGAGTGAATGCACGTCCCACAATATCTAATCAGGGCAGCGTATCCATACCCAAGAATCTGGGTACATTTCAGAAGCACTTTGATTTCTTCAGAATGAAAGTGTCCCAAGAACCCACAGTATTCCTTAATAAGGCAGGGAGAAGGGCAAACCCTAGATCTTGGTTTATATCCAGGAAACCAATAGCAAATTTCATTTAAAATGAAATCTATCATACAAGTGTTTTAAAGGTGCACTTTTTACAATCAGGACCAACAAGTGGATGGCGCCCTTCACTTCCCCTGACCCCTCACCTGGGTCCCGGTGGCGGCATCTTCACCCCCCCAGTCTGGAAGAGGCTGGTTTGCCATTGGGTCTTCAGCGTATCCGAATGATGAGCACGTCTGAGGCCTTGGCTCTGCTTCATTCTGCTTTTGGGGACTGACTTTTCCTAAATGAGGACACGTACGTGGAATCACATATCAGCTTCCATCAACCTTTTCCAAGTTTAGGGAAGGAGGTGGGGGAGACATTCAGAAATGATAAAAAGGGTCTGAATACAGTGAAAGCTGGGCTTCCTGCCATTCTGTCCCACTGTAGTCTGTGCTGCCCAAAAACATCTGCATAATTATGTATACACATCTATAGAAGCCCCTTTTCAAGACCCTGAGGCAAACTGTTCTTAGACCACTTTTCTACAAAACGTTGAAAGACTTTACAGGTTAGAAAGGGTTCAGCAGGCAAACCATTCAGGAAACACTAAAGTTATTCTTTAAATAATGTTATTCATCCAACAACAATCAAGTTTCTTCTTTGGAGGACTTCTCAGAGGCTTCAGTGTGCCAATGGGCATTAGCATCGTTTCTGAAAAGAGGATTTGAATTTGCAGGCTTCCTCAAACACAGGGAACCCCGATTTTCCTAAAATACTTATCAAGGTCATTTTGCATAGTGTGGTTTGGGAAGCTTTGCTTGGAGCCCTTAAACATCTCTCAGGGCAGCACTTTTGAAGCTTTAGCTTTAATGTACATACGGATCAGCTGAGCTTTTGTTCATGTGCATGCTGATTCAGGAGGTATGCGGTGGGCTCTGAGTCTGCATTTCTGACAAGCTCCCAGGTGATGCCAATGATGCTGGCCCATGGACCACACTGAGTAGCAAGGGTGTAATTAGCAGAGAACAATTAAAGAGAGTTTCCCCATTACCCGTGAAAAGTAGATTAACCTGCATAGTGTATGCCTCTGTCATGCCAGAATGGAGAATTGCTGTCATTATCCTCCAACCTCAGTGATTATAAGCAGGACTTGCTGTGACAGCCTCTCCACAGCATTTTGTTTGTGAGGGGAAGCTAAGAACTGTGTTTTCATCAGCACTGTGAGTTTTGTTTAGTGACTTCCATTTTTTATATGGGGAGAAGAAAAATAACCAATTCAAATGTACACATTAAACAGGCAGTGACTGCTCAAAAAGGAGGTATAATCTCATTTTCTTTTAGTTCCAACTAGTCCTCATTCCCTAATTTTTAACATGAATAACAGATAGACACAGAAAAGAGAAGCATTGGAAAGCAGGCCCTGCCTCTGGACCACAGATATCATGTGGGGACAGGAAAGTTCAGGATGGGTGACAAAAATTTCCTGCAGTGTGTTCACCTCACTCTCTACCATATACTATCTTTTTACAACTCTTCCTTACAATTTGATTAAGATAGAACCCAAAGCCAGGTGCAGTGGCTCATGACTGTAATCCCAGCACTTTGGGAGGCCAAGGCAGGTGGATCACCTGAGGTCAGGAGTTCAAGACCAGCCTGGCCAACATGGTGAAACCCCGTCTCTACGAAAAATATAAAAGACACAAAAATTAGGTATGGTGGCACATGACTGTTATTCCAGCTAATTGGGAGGCTGAGGCAAGAGAATCACTTGAACCCACCAGGTGGACATTGTGGTGAGCCAAGATTGCGCCATTGCACTCCAGCCAGGGCGACGGAGTGAGACTCCATCTCAAAACAAAAACCAACCAACAAAGATAGAACCCTTGCATACCTGGTGCAGTGGATATTAGCAGCAAGATCCAAACAATCTCCTTCTGATCGCTTATGAAGCAATTCAAGACTTGTGGTTTCTATTCAATTTGTTATAATGACAGTGTTTAATCATGGAGTCTAAGGCAGCCGCCACTGAATTGAGGTCACACATGTGACTATTCAGGCATGGAGTACATAATCTATAACTAAGATTTTGCCCCTTACTCTCTGGAGGCTGTGTCATTAATTACCAATGCATTTATTTCAAAAATAATATGCATTACAGCCTTTAAAAATGTAGCCTTGACTTGGAATGAGCAGAAGTTTGTGATGCAACATTCGTGGCAACAGGTATTCCTATATAAAGGAAGAACTCAGCCATGGGAATAGCCCAATCACATTTATTCCAAGATTTATAATTAAAAGTCTCCTTTTCTAATTTCTCAGAAGCCTATAGTATAATCTCCACTTGCAGCTCCTTTCTAATCATCAACTCATAAGTGAAAGCGTTCGATTTAAAGTTTTAGTTCCTATGCTTATGCATGCTGTAAAAGCAACATAAGACATACAAGTTAAAAATTATTTAGTGTCATCCTGGGCTGCAATAAATATTTTTAATCGTGAGGGAACAATGAAAAAACGGTGACCCTTAGCCTAGCCCTGTCTTTAATCATGAAAGCTTGCTTCAATTGACTGCCATGAAGGACAGTACTTCTCAATGGGAAGGCTCACTCTATTCTACTGCATTAGTGCATGATCTACTGCTGATTTATAAAACTATGCCTTTTATAGTTCAACATATAAATATATTTTAACCAGATAGGAATACATCAGAACATGTATGTTTTTGGTCAGAAGGAAAACAACATTGTAGTTATATTTATATCTTGGGCTGAAATTGGTCTATATTCAGAGTTAAATTTTATAGGATAAAACCTCACGCGTGTATGTTGCATGGATTTTTTCTTAGTCAGTTCATATATCCATAGACCAGTACTTACATGTCTGTTTCCTTATATGTGTGTTACTGCTCAATGTAATTCTACGAGTAGATATTGACTTATACACATTGTTTTGCTTTTTGGTGAAGGACATGAAGGAATTTTCACATATCTACATTTTTATCAGGCAGGTCACTGACTTGCTTATCTCCTGGTGAAAGGTTTTCCTTTTTTTTTTTTTTGTCAGCAAGTGTCTTATTAAGGGTGGGAGATTGGCATTTTACCTGAGGAAGCTGGTTTGGGGAGGCGGCTTTGAAGAGGTCGCAACCCTCTGGCAGTCATGATGGGGTCAGATGTGGAATGAACAATGGCGCTATCTGCAGGGCGCTGGCTGTCTGTGGAGGAAGGCACTTCACGTTCAAGGGTTTGGGCTCTCATGGAAGAAACTGCAGAAAGGGCTGACTGGAGAGGCAGGAGAGGCTCACTGTCCTCTGGGGAGTCTGGCTGGCATAGGTATCGTCCTGTTGAGCGATTTCCCGAGTCTGGGAGTGGGAAGGTTCCGATCCCACTGTCCAATGTTCTCATCTGGCAGTTGGATTCTGAGATAGAGAGACAGAGAGAAAGGATTAGAGAAGGCTCACATAAAAGGCTAAAAGAATTGTGGAAATTGGGGTATGATCTGGAGGAAAGGAGACACCTAGAAGGGTGAATTTAAGAGAAAGAAAAATGATAAGCATTTGGAAACAGTATTAGTGGTGTAGTAAATTTCCAGTGAGGTGCATGAAACAGACCTTTTTGAACATGAAAGCGTCCCTTTCATGTAATATAAGAAGAAGACCAGCCTGTTACGAGCAGCAATAGTCACTGGTGCATATATCCTGGATAGGTCTTTAGAGTTAGAAGAGGAACAGTCATTAGAGACCAAATTGTGGTCATCCTTATTTCAATCTGGGAATCATATGACTTCAACCAATTAGGTGAAATTTATTAACTGAAATAATGAGTAATGAGAACACATAAATTGAAGTGACGTCCTAACAACAGTAATTGTGTATCTCTTGCATGAATGATCGCCCATTCAGCAGTTGACTAAATCTCTGACCTCTTAATTTGACTACGGGGACAAGTAATTCACACGCCAGAAGGGTCATCCCAAAGGGTACCTTTCCCATCAGAACATCACTTATCATGTGGGCTTCATTCGGCCCAGTTGACAAGACTGTGAGCCACTTTCTTTCACTCTCACTTTATTCAGTGACAAAACTCATCAATAATGTTTTGGATTTCTTGGCAGTCCCAGGGATCCCACTATTCTCTAGAACAAATTAAGATGATTTCACCATGTATGTGACATATTCTGTTAATTGTGTGTCATCATCAAAACATTTTATATATGGAGAAAAGTACAGTATCTGAAAAAATTACCACATAATTTTTGGAATGGTGGTGTGGTTTATCAAGGCCAATGAGGCAGCTTCCAAGATCTGGATGTCATCCAGAAAGTCTTCTGTTCATATGATAATCCTGGAATGAAACGTCCTAGGTTTCATCTTAGAAGCATCTTGTAAGTCTAGCACCGGGTCAGCGGAACAACTGAGCACTGTATTAGGCATGGTGGGGAATATAATAGATTACGACATAATGTTTGTATCAAAAGCTCAACAGCTACCACTTCTTTGGTGCTTTAAGAACAGAGGCTTGTGGTGTGATCTCTGCCAATGACTAATTTTTTGAACCCCTGTGCAAGAGCCTTAGCCTCTCAAGGTCTCAGGTTCCTTTTAGGACCGCTGTGAGGATTAAAGTATGTTCACCATTTAATCCTTAGAATTTAGAATGACACTAAGCGCACTGTGAGACAGCCCAGTAAATGAATAATGAATGGCAAAATATATAAAATGTTTAGTATATTTATTACATATTAGTAGATACCTGATAGGTGAATAACTTATCCTTAAGTATCTTTATATACAATCTCACTTCATGCTCAGCACTTACTATTCAAACTTCAGAATTTGCCCATTCCCCTACCTTCCCCCTCAAAACATATTTGCTGAGTAGCAGAAGTCTGGGAATTTCCTAATACTAAGGCAAAAATAAAGGGATGGGAATGTGTACAGAGTTGGCTTTTCTAGGCTTGAGGAGGTTTGGTGCTTGGTGTTGGAAGTACTAGGAAGATGAAGTCCCTACTCAAGAGGCTTCAATCTTCACAGGGATATTTAGCAGGAAGATATAGATACCGTTTTTTCCACTATGGTGCCATTTAACCATCTCATATGCCATGGGATGTTTGTCATGGACTCTAGGATATCTGAATCATACAGACACACCATGAGAAGTGCTTTTCCTTCCCGGGATTACAAGAGCTAAGTTTTAGCCCCATTCATTTCAGGGCCTCCACCTGGTCAATTTTATTCTCAACCAGACTTACAGATTATTCATGGCCTTCTCTTTTCATTTTCTCCCCAATTAAGGGGATTTAATTGTTATAGAATGGTGTTTTTGAGAAAGGATCAGCTGTTTGCATGGGGAGGCACTGCCAGATGAGTAAAAAAAAAGACACTGCTATTCAGACTTCTGTGTCTTTTCTTAATTTTAGCCCTACACATACAACACTTCAGATTTAGCATGTCCATGTGTTGTAATTGGGGCAATTCTGAAAGTCTGAAGTATTTCAGACTTACGGGAGTAAGTAGATCTTCATCAGAACCGACTTAGTCTTTGAAGATGAGAATCAAAGATTCATGGGATGTAGCAGCTGAGATGTGTCAGACCCTATGTGCCCCAGGCTGCCTGCCCTAATAATTTACCCCAGCATCCTCAGGACTACCTATCCCTGAATCAAGGAGGGCTCGGCAGGGCAGGACATTAGGGGTGCTTTTTCTTTCGAGAAGACGTATCATCAAAAGTTTGGTGCTTATTACAGCTTTCAGGAGTTCTGCTGTCTTTGTATCATCTCTTCATCTTCACATACCTATAAGGCAAGAACTATCATTGCTGTTTAGAAATGAGGAATCACAGCTAAAAGAGGTTAAGCAACTTGTCCAAGGTCACACGCTGTAAATGAAAGCCTGGACTTGAATCTAGGCCTTGCTACAAAGACAACGCTCTTAGCCACCAAGCTATACTGATTCCCCCCAGAAGCACAAGTAAACCCCAAAGTGGGCTCTGCTCACCTCATAGCCATTGAGGCAGCCATGTGAGCAGAAGGCTTACAGCATGGCCCCATGGCTTCCAGGCAAGGTGCCCAGCTTCTCCTCTGAGATTGGTGCTGGCCCCAGAATTCTAGCTTGGTTCCTGGGCTCCCCATTCTGAGGCTGGAGTCCACTGTCAACATGCCTGGCATCTAGCGGTTGTCTGGTTCTACGCAGGATGCCTATGCAACCTTACTATATAGTTCTGAGAATCCCAAGTGCCTAGCAACTCTTCCTTCTGCCCTCTTGGACTGAATCCTTAGACTTCTTGCCAGGGCTTTTTTTAGAGTTTACTTTGCTTCCTGATACGGTTTGGATCTGCGTCCCTACTACATCTCAGGTTGAAATGTAATCCCCAGTGTTGGAGCTGGCAGCTGACGGGAGGTGTTTGTATTGGGGGTTATATCCATCATGCATGACTTAGTGCCATCCCCTTAGTGATGCGTTCGTTCACGTGAAATATGGTTGTTTAAAAGTGTGTGGCACCTTCCGCCTTCTCTCTTGCTCCTGCTCTTGCATTTGAGACACCTGCTCCTACTTCACCTTCCACCATGATTGGAAGCTTCCTGAGGCCCTCGCCAGCAGCCAATGCTGGCACCATGCTTCCTATACAGCCTGCAGAACCATGAGCCAGTTACGCCTCTTTTCTTATAAATTACCTAGTTTCAGGTATTTCTTTATAGCAATGTAAGAATGGCCTAATACACCTCTAGCTTGGTGATAGGCACTCTTCCAAGGGCAATGTTTTTCTGGCTTTTCTCCCTCTTCTATGTATTATAAGTCACATAGAGCACTTAATCCAGTCTCCTCAAATGAAGATTCAAAAAGCAAAGTGAGAATCTTGGCGGCCTTTTTCATGTTGGCAATAGGTGCCATGTACAAAGCCCATATATGTTTGTGTAACCTATAACACAAAGCATGTGGCAGTTGCAGGAAATACGGCAGAGGAGGAATTCGGGGGTAGAAAAAATGTTGAAGGAGGTCTAAGTTTGGAGGCTTTCTGAAGACTACAACATTTTCTAGCATCAATCCCCTTAAATTTTTTTACTTTCTTTTCAACACCCAATATTGTTATACCAGAGTCTACAAAACAGGGCTTTTGGAATTCTTGAGTTCTTTGATTTCCTGAGAATTGCATGCCCTGACATTAAACTCAGAAACCATTCGCTATTAAGGCCATTTTTGTTTCCAAAAATTGCAGATGCCAAATGTAGTGGATGTGAAGGACTCATCTGTAAGTCCCTATGAAGTGAGGTGTGGACAGTCAGGGGCTCAGACACATGCCAAGTTTCCCTGCAAGACAATTTCTTCAGAATACATAAACCTTTGGAAATGGAAGTTTATATTGAAAGTGCTGACACCATCTTTATGTAGTTTCTTTAAGGCACAATTAGTTTCTTGCAGTTCATAAAAATATTGTAACCTGAATTACGAATGTTAGATATTGTACTTCTGAAGCCAGGTTTTTTTTTTTTCAGAGAATTTTAAGAACTCACAAAATAATTAAATGGTTGTAGTAGGAACTAAGTTCAAAGGGGCAAGCCTGCCTCCCATCTTCAATGAATTGATGCAGTATTGCTCTCAATAAATGTGAGTTCACGGCTGGGCGTGGTGGCTCATGCCTGTAATTCCAGCACTTGGGGAGGCCGAGGTGGGTCAATCACGAGGTCAAGAGATCGAGACCATCCCGGCCAACATGGTGAAACCCTGTCTCCACTAAAAATACAAAAAAAGTTAGCTGGGCATGGTGGTGCGCACCTGTAGTCCCAGCTACTCAGGAGGCTGAGGCAGGAGAATCGCCTGAACCCGGGAGGTGGAGGTTGCAGTGAACCGAGATTGCACCACTGCACTCCAGTCTAGCGACAGAGCGAGACTCTGTCTCAAAACAAAACAAAACAAAATACAAAAGAAAAACAAACAAACAAAAAACCCCACAAACGTGAGTTCACATTTCTGGCTGTGAGTATAGTTGCCCACAGGTCCTTGCTAATGAGTTCAAGGGTTGAGTTGTTGGATGTACCAATGGGCTTCATCCTTGTAAGGTCACCAATTACATCTCTGATTCTGGTCAGCTCTCTCACCTGTTCCTATTGTTCCATGTGCCTTCTCTCTGTCTCTCAAGGTATTAACAAATTCTCACAGTTACCACCACCATCAGGTCCCAGGAACCTCATGGGACGACTTAAGTGTCTCGCACAAAGAAAATATACAGTTGGTTGAGGAAAACACCAGTCCCCAGGACAACTGGTCAACTGAAGGCTGAACAAGCTCCATCTTGGTACACCTGGCACCCATTCAGAGCAGTCAGCAGCAGAATGGCAGAGAATCTCATAGAGAATGGAGTCCCCATTCTCTTTTACTGACACCTTGAATACATTCCCTTGTATATGATTGGTATGAAAGGAGGA